TTAATATAAAAATTGTCCATAAATAATTTTAAATAAAGATTTATAAATTATATCATATAATATCTTATTATCTTTTTATCATAACGATTTACTAAATTCCTCAAATTTTCTTAACAAACATTAAGATTTTATCGAATTCTTATCGCCCTCGAAAATCATATACCCATACCTAATTAACATACATTCCATCCAAAATAAATAAATAAAATATGAATTTTACAATTCTTTTAATTCCCTCAATTATTCCGAAAAAAAAATCATCAAATAAAAACATATTAATTAATCCTACGATCCTTACAAATCGACTTCCTCCTCTCCATTTTCCAAAACCAATTACCCTTCTCGATCTTATCCTTAATCGTCGCCTTCTTCTTCATCATCAATATCGCCAACAACTCTTCGCCTACGACGAACCACCAATATCATAGAAACGTTTTTACGAAGATTACCTTCCCCCAAAAGGTATCTACTAATATATAACCATTCTCCTTTTCTACTAGTCTATCATATTTAATAAAAACGATTTTCATCCGCTATTACATATATATATTTTAAATCGATTTAATTCGTACGTTTCTATAGTTTGAAATATCAAACAAAATACAAAAATATAAATCAAATCAATATATAAATTATAGAAATATTATTAATACAAATATATAACAAAATAAAACAATATATTTATATCCTATAGATATATTTTAATCAATTCTATATAAATTCTAATTAATCAATATTTACAAAATTACCTAAAATATTAAATATAATATCAAAAAATAAAAGCAAATCAAATCAATTACTTTACTTCAAGTGATCCCCACCATGACATTTCAACAATGTCTTGATGCCATAGTCAGGAGCATGTTGCCATGGTCGTGAGTATTGTATTTATCGATTTTGCTTGTGGGTCCTCGGGTTGTGTGCTATGATTGTGTGTTGTGGTTGTGGTTGTGCGCTGTGTTGTGGTTGTGGTTGTGTTTGTGATTGTGTGTTTGTGGCTGTGTGTTTGTGATTGTGTGTTTGTGGATGTGCTTGTTGTGTTGGCGGTTGTGTTTGTGGTAGTGTGTTTGTGGTTGCGTTTGTGGTTGTGGTTGTGTTTGTGGTTGTGTGTTTGTGGTTGTGTGTTTGTGGTGTGTGTTTGTGGTTGTATGCTTGTGGTTGTGTGTTTGTGGTTGTGTGTTTGTGGTTGTGTGGTTGTGGTTGTGTGCTTGTGGTTGTGTGTTTGTGGTTGTGTGTTTGTGGTTGTGGTTGTGTGTTTGTGGTTGTGTGTTTGTGGTTGTGTGCTTGTGGTTGTGTGCTTGTGGTTGTGTGTTTGTGGTTGTGTGTTTGTGGTTGTGTGTTTGTGGTTGTGTTTGTGGTTATGTGTTTGTGATTGTGTCTTTGTAGTTGTGTTTGTCGTTGTGTGTTTGTGACTGTGCGTTTGTGATTGTGTGTTTCTGATTGTGTTTGTGGTTGTGTGTTTGTGGTTCTGCTTGTAATAATTGTGTGTTGAGGTCCGGCGGGGAACACTGGGCGCGGATGGTCGTGGTTGAGGTCCGCCAGGGAACACTGGGCGCGGATGGTCGTGGTTGAGGTCCGGCGAGGAAGACTGGGCACGGATGGTCGTGGTTGAGGTCCGGCAGGGAACACTGGGCGCGGATGGTCGTGGTTGAGGTCCGGCAGGGAACACTGGGCGTGGATGGTCGTGGTTGAGGTCCGGCGGGGGAACACTAGGCGCAGATGGTCGTGGTTGAGGTCCGGCAGGGAACACTGGGCGTGGATGGTCGTGGTTGAGGTGCGGCAGGGAACACTGGGCGTGGATGGTCGTGGTTAAGGTCCGGCGAGGAGGAGAAGAAGGAGGAGGAGGAGGAGGAGAAGGAGAAGTCAGCTAACATAAAATCTAACAACCCTCACCTGGCAGGTGGGGAACAATCAAATCATAATATTAAACACCATATCAATTTTATTCTTTCAATTCCACATTACATATTATATATATTTTCGGCGTTGTTTTAAAATATTGCCATTAGATGGTGTGATTATACTATAATCCCAACAAAATTGAAGCCATCAACAATCTATCGAATCAGGATTGTTAAATCGATGCATTTGTCGCATGCGCTAAAAAGAACTCCCGATTTGCAATGGGTATATAACAACATGCAACAATTCGCAAAAACGTGATGGCTCAGGTGCTGGAAATGGGTCCGCTAACAATTGCCCAGCCATCCTCCTGGCTTTCACGGCAATTGTTGCAAAGGTTTGGAGCAGAGCGACTGCCTTCCAAATCCAAAACAAATTGAGAGTACTCGAAGCCTGCAGTGCACTTCTGGCAAGATGCTTGCTTCTTTGAGGCAATGCATTTTTGAGAACAAAGCTCACAAAAAACTCCTGCTTGCCCTTTCTTGATGTAATCCGCCTTCTCCGTCTCCACCATTGTGCCGCACTTGCCTTTGCAAAGCAACGGAACCTTGCGGGCAGTGGGAGGGGCTGCCTGAAATCTGTCTAACGCTTCCTGCCCCTTTTCCTGTCTCATTTCCTGTCTCAGCTCTCGCGCTGACTTTTGCCTGGTCAACCCTCGACCCATCTCCTCAGGTTGGACCAGTGTGAAACGCGGCTTCGGTTCGGCCGGTTCCGGTATATGGCTTTTCGAGCTTGGCAATGGGGTTGACTCCGGTTGACTCCGCAGCACCTCAGGCTTTGCTTCGGGTTTCTGGTTTTGAGGGGCTGCCAGGTCTGTCTCCTGGCACTTCTGGGCTTCCTCAGACCGAAGGAAAAGGTGCTTAGCCTCAAGTTCCAACGCTTCGTCCTCGCCTTCAATCAGCACAGTCCAGAGTGAATGGCCTTCAGAAGAAGCCGGTGCCATATTCATGGCAAGCCCGGGCTGCCCATCCCACTTCTTGCCTGTGCCAATGACTACCACAGCTGATCCGTCTTCCAACTTCGGTGGTGGCTTTGCATCGAAAGCATCCGCCCCTGCGTACTCCAGCACTGAGAAGCTGTGACCCGGCGTGTGCGCATGCGCCCTGCCTCGATAGCAAGCACTGCACAAGTGCACGCTGCAATCCTTGCATGTGTGGCAGGCACCGATCAAAGGTTCTCGGGCACAGCCTTGACAAGTGAAGTCCATGTGAACTGGCACCTTGAGTTCCTGCAATCGGTCTTGGCACCCCAATTTCGAGAGGCGCCTCCCCAGTTTCACGTGTTCAAGATCTAAGCGGGCCCAGCCGTCCGATGTTTTCAGCAATGCCAAGACTTCCTGCTTCGACTTCCCGAACACCTCCACACCACCAATCTCCAAAAGTAGATTGCCATCGTGAAAGCTGGGCGGGTCTGTCCAAGTCATTCTCCTTCCAGCCATGCTGCCGACTTCCAAGCCGCTCAAACGCTCAAATTGCTCCGAACCTCTGCGCTTCGGCAATCCGGCTGCGAGGACTGATGTACCACTTACTGACAAGGTATGTTGAGTGGCATACACGAGAAGACCAGATTGCCATGCAGTGATATGGCTTCCAGAAACAAACCAAACAAACAACACTACCTAATAATCCAGCGGCAGTTGATACATTCTCTGCGATGCAAGGGCCTGAGGAACTAGTGGGCAAACATCATGAGCACAAATATTGTCAGGCAAGCAACGGGTAGCATCGCCCACACGCACTTCAATGCCACGGCAATTCTCTAGCTGTTTTAAGATCTGCAGGCGCGACATTCTTTCAGTGTTTTCTTCATCAATTGCAATCAGTGCATCACCTGGCAAGTCAAGTTTGTCATAGGCGGGGGTTGGATGCGATTGGGTGGCCGCTATATGTAACGGTTTTTTGATTTCACAGTTCACCCTAGAGGCAAACCACAGAAATCAAACCCAAGAATCTGCACAAGTCAGCTAGCCAAGGGCCATTCTTGCGTCATTCAAATTGTTCAAGTTTTGGCTTCAGCTTTCACAATACATTGCTCTCATGCCTTTTGCCTATGATGCGTATCTTGGACACCTGGAAATGCACACTCGGGTGCTTCTACACCTCAAGTCTCATTACAACTAAGTTGAGATCCGCCCTCTCAACTCCCTCCCGTGCGTTAACAACAAACACTAAGTGCTTGAAGGGCACCAATGGACAACTGCCCCTCTGCTGGCGATCCTGCAGCAACGCTAAGGACCCTTGGAGGCTGGGTCCAAGCGAAGGTGGCCCCAGCCAAGGAGTCATATGGCACCTGAAGCTCATCATTCCAACCTCAGTCCGCTGACCAAACAAGAAGAACGACACACTTCGATGAAAAAGAGAGACAGGCCAGGGGATAAACATGACAAAAAACGGTCAGAAGAAACAAATTGCCCGACTGCCCGACACTCCAACCTACACTTAGCAAACACTATCGCATCATTTTGCATCCAACATGTTCAGCTTTGACTAAATTGCGCGATCCTTCTGCTATTATTGTGTTTGTGCTTGTGCGTGCGGGAACACAGCGCGAGCTTTCATTAAAATTATTATGGTTACAGATGGTTACGGCATGTTATGGCTACATAATCTATATATACAGCACTTTACCCAATGGATTTTGCCACTATGCTCGAGTTCGACGAGGCCGTTTAATACCATTGCAATTGCAACTAGTTAGTATAGGCAGCATAGCAACATTTCATCACTCTGGAATGACAAGTTGTGCCGGAAATAGGTCAATTCACGATCCGGTGTTTGTCGCAGTTTTCCCACAAGAGTTGGCAAGCAGCTTGCAGAAAGTTTGCTTCTTTCGCAAGGACTCGAGTCACGTAGGTAAGCCCAAAACGGAGTGACATGACTCCAAACCTTGTCTCAACCAACAAGGCCTTGTCCAATAGTCACGAGTCTTCCAGATAATTAATCGTGTCATCACACACTCACACACCTTACGCAACGATGTTCCACCTTCTGTCGCACGTGCGCAAGCTTACGCAACCAAGTGCACCCTTATGCGCTAACGCCAGGAAGTGATTTGAAGTATATGCGCTCGAACACTCACTGACCATGTTTTGGAAGCTTGGAAACTGCCCACACGCGTATGATACGTGTCTGTTCCAAGAGCCGCCATTTGTCTTGAGCTAGTACCGAGTTTCGGATCCAAATCCTTTTGAATCAGTTAAGGTCGGCACCCTCTGAGCTGTCTGGCTGTTGCAGCCTTTCTGTGGCATCCAATCGCAATCTGTCGAGAAACATGTGCTTCCTCACTTGCGACAAGCTCTTAGTTGGGGAAGCCTAGTCTAGTCTACCCTGTACGTCGCACACGTAGAAGTAATCTGTGCAAACTTCACCACCTTCCAAGAATCCGCGAGGGTAGGTACCCTGTCTTTGACTATAATTGTAAAACAACAAACATTACCCAATCGCAATTCAGACTCGCAAAGTCTTTGTGGAGGTGGAGGCGCTTCGCAAACAAGTCATGAAGAAATCCCTTTGCTTCATCTCTGCGAGAAAGACCTTCAAGCACATGCTCAAGGTGATCTTCCAGATCCGACATGAAGTGCAACATGTCTCTCAAATCCCCGCGAGCTGGCGAACTTTCTCTTGAGGCCTCCGAGAGCATAGACTTGATCTTGTCATTGGATGCCCTGAAGACCATCATGTTGTTGTCGGAGGCCAAGAGTTTCAATACCTCCTCCCTTGACCACCCTTCCACCTTTTGCGCTCCAACGAGGTCCAAATAGGTGTCTGCTCGACATTCAGCGTCAAAGGCAGGTGAATCTGGGAGAACCTGCGCTATCTTTGGCCAGCGTCCTTGCCACTCAACCACCGCGCCGCCGAGAGTGCACGTGGCAGATCCTTCAAGCCACTCAACCATCGCGTCTGTCCGCACGGCATCGAGGAAGAGGCTGAGTTTGGAACCGGGCAACGGCATCCAATCCACCTTTAGGTCTTGACCTGGCGCCAGACTCACATGACGCGGCCAACTTTTAGTCTCAAACAAGTCAGTCCAAAGTGTCCAGTCTCATGGATTTGGAATCTTTGTGATTAGTGCAAACCCTTCCTCTTTTAGCGCAAACAGCTGCAACACATGGTCCGCCGCATGGGTGCAGTTGGCTCATGGTCCCTGCCTGAAGTCGCCATCTCGGGAATGGCGTCGAGTCCTGGCCAAGCAACGACATCTTCAGGCGCAGGGCCTGGCTGAAGAGGATGTTCTCGCAACTTAAGAGTATGACAAATATCATTGCACGTGTGGTTCAAGAAGAAGGCGTCCATGCCTTTGGTGGCCAAGTTTCCTCGCCCAAAGCGATCTGTGTCCTGAGAATGAATCTGTGGATCAGTCAAGGTGTTACCACCTCCCTGAATGTCAGCGACCATGATGTCCCCGGCTGTGAATTCCCAAGTGAAGTGTGTGAACGCTTGCGCCAAGTCAGAATCTTTGGAGATGTAGCCAGCATTGGAGGTGAACTTCTCATACCTACCTAGGGGATTGCAGTGCAGGGGCTCTGCCGGTTGGATGCTCAGGCATGGACCACATATGCACCACCTATTTACGTGGGTGCTCCAATAGCAAAACACCCTGGCCCTCGCTAGTTCAGACTGCTCTATTTGCCGAACTGAACGCGATTCGGAACTCCTTGGAGGTCTCCCTATGTTTCTTTTGAATACACACCCGTATTTGCATGGCACCGATCCGCAACTCTACCCCTGCCTGGGATCCAGGGTTCAATCGCCATAAAGCGAAAAGGAAAGTCTGAATCAGCGCCCAAGTCCAAAAGCTGAGCTTGCACAAACTCAATTGGATCTTCGACGTACCTTGGAGGTCCAGATGGTCTTTTGCGAAAGGTTTAACCGAACTAATGAGTGACACCAGTGGTTTAGTAAGAAATCCCTTCTACACCAAAAGAACTAAGGGTCTTAAGAGTATGAGGACAGTCAAGGTACTGAACGCTAAACTCCTTTGCCAAATAGCCAGCCACCGCCTGCGAAGCCATGTCCCCCTCGTAGGTGGACTTTTGTTGGAAAGCAGGGTCGTCAAACTGATAGACTTTGCCCACATACTTGCGGTCTGGGTGTCCTTGGTCAACAAGATAGAAAGCAAATCGCATCGCTCCCTTGCCAAAGGGCCTTGGATGAAGGGCTGCCATGAAGGGACACGAGGTCTTCTGCGGCGGCTCGTCCACTTCATTCATGATGTAGGTGTAGAGTTGTGCTTCTACTGTACACCATCCATCTCTGACTTCCCAATTCACGGGCGTGTCATCCACGACGTATGTTAGCAGCTTCTGGGGGACTGCTCTCGCTTGACCCATCCGTGAAGCTGAGCCGCTGAAGCTGTTCGCCGAGGATGAAGACACGATGCAGCGGAAATGCTTGGCATCTCGACGAGCATCATAGACCTTGAGCTCCAATGAAGCTGTTCCGGGAACTGAATATTGCTGTTTGAAGACCTTCAAGCATCGTGGTTCGCGTTTCCAGTCACTGACTCATGCAGGAATAATATCCACCTTGACACCTGAAGCATAAAGGAAATACTGTGCATCCAGGCCCAAAAGGAACTTCAACATAGTTTGCTTTCAGTTCCTGCATGCTACAAGTTCCATGCTCCAACCGGGCCTGTATCATTTTGTCAGTGACCGTCCCAAGCCGAAGAATCACCATTTGTACCCCTCGCTGTTGAAACTCCTGTGAGCGGCGAACTGATGCAACTTGCTGCCATAACAAGCGCCTGGAATGTGAGGTCACCTGAGTGACCCTAGAATACAAGCATAAGGGAGAAGGAAAAACACTCATTTAATTTTACCATATCATGTATGGCATTTTCATATCAAAGCAAGGGCCAATTAAGTCCAATTCTAGGATATTCTAGGTACACTATTTACAATACATACATAGTTACGGGCATGTGTGCAAGGCTCTTAAGACTTCTCCTCTGTTTGTATCCCCATGGCCTTGGTAGTGCCAAGTGTCTGCATACACATATTAATTAATTGCATTATATACACAGAGCGTGTGTATACATTCATTCAAAATGTGCAGTGTCTCCTTCAGGACATCATCCATAGGCGTCCACTGCCTAGGATCCTCGCAATGTAGGTCGTAGAATTCGTTTGGAAGTGATCGTTCCACCTGCGCTTTGTCTTGGACACCTGAAGCAGCTACCACTTCTTTCAGGCTCTGCGCGTCTGTGTTCAGTTCGCACAGTTGGTGAAAACGCCAGCCATGGTGGGGAGTCTGGCTCAGCAAATACAGCACCTTTGCTGTGGCGGACCAATCTAGCTTCAATGCTTCTTCCAAGCCTGTAAGGACATCTTCACTCACATCACCACCACCATTGGCCTCCAAACGCTTCAAAAATGTTTTGATCTCGTCGATGTTGTTGGTAAATGGATGCACCACTGGATGGTCTTTGTCATCATAGTCACGGTAACCTACAAAGGCAACCCTCACCCGAGCAAGCTCTCCCAAATACTGCCTGTTATCTTCGATGATCTCATCCATCTTCTCATGAACAGTCTTGAGCCACCACTGCATGGAAGCCGTGAGGTCCACAACGAAGCACAAATCAATGGTCTTCACCTCCCGTGATAGGTCACTGTCTTGGAAAAAAGAACCTCCCGGATGGATTTCACTGTATAGCGTATATAGTCTTTCAAAGAGTTTCGGGATCCAAGCTATAAACAAGTCCGGCAAAAGGCACATCTAAGACAAACGCTGCTAGGTTTCATGAACCAAATGACCCTCTTGGCGCGTTTCGTGGCCAGGGCCATAGCCGAAGTCAGCTTGCGCTCTTTGCTGTCTCGTTGCATGAGCCATTGCCTTTCTTGCTCAAGGCGATGGCGTTCTTCTTTTTTCTGTTGCAAGACCTTCTGAAGGTCAGCCCCATCCGCCATGGTAAAACAATCGATTGGTCAAAAGCAGAATCGTGACGACACCAGGCTGCAAAGGGCATGCTGCGGGAAAAACATGCATCACATCAGCTCACCGTTGAGAACAAAGTCATCGACTTTCATCTTTCCGTTCATACAATGTGCAAACACATATCAAATAATATAGTTAGTAGGTTGGAGGCCATTGCTAGTATGTTGAAGGCCATCGCTATTAGGTTGGAGGCCATTGGTATTACAATATACCTTGCCATACAGTGCCCGCACTTCAGGACCAAGCGCAGTGTTGAAAGACCGTCGCTTTGCCAATCAGCACATTTTTTTGCAATTGATTTGTCAGTTGCCCCATGCTCCCCACATCCAAATCAATCAATATTAATTGGATCACACCAATGTTTCCTCGGCTGAGACCGAAATCACTCTCTTCAAGGATATTAATGCTGAGAACTTGCAACATGATATCTTGACTGTTTATATCTGAAGCATGAGTATGGATGCCCTGCCCAAAGTATGGCAACTAGTTTGAAAAGAAACAACCATGCAGTTTGGGCTCCTTCGGCCATTGCTTACGATGCTGCTTGCCGTCAAGTCTCAGTGGAGTTACCCACCGCGTTGGGCTGCCTTTGGCCTTCTTTGGAGCCTTGGCGTTTAACCAAATTTCACAGGGTTGAGTTTCCATTTGTCAGTACATCTCAGTCCAGATGTTCCACGACTCCAGCGGGTTTGCAAAACAGAACCTCCCAAACATCTCCGTCAAGACGGGACGACCTCGACGGTTTGCGCCGACGTTTGGACGCGCCAGGGAACCGGTGAATCTTTGCCACCAACTTCCCCGTGCCCAGGAGAGAAGGTCCTCCAAGCAAACAAGCCGAAAACGAATCAATGGCTCCAGGTGGAGGCCCAGGTCTCGCCTTGGGGGGTAGGTAGCTAGTAGCTACTGAGGTCCGCTTCTACCTAGGACGCGATTTTAGCTCGCGCTCGCACTCGTCATATGGTTCCTAGATTCTATAGGGAAACTAAACGATTGCGAGCACTTTTGAATTCTGCGAGGTTGCCTCTCAGCAACGTCATCAATGAGGAAGAGGACCAGGCACTGCTTGAAGTAGAAGGGCACTCACTGCACACTTCGGGCCTACCCTTCTGTTCAGCCATGCTTCATGACATGTTTCTTCACAGTCTGGTCCATTGCTCGGATGACATGTCTTTAAGGATTTGGATCTTCTTCCACCGCATCTCTATACAACTGGCGATGCCCCCAAACTGAATAGAACAACTATATAGATCTTCTGATCTTCTCTCTTAAAAATGAACCTCGTTGCTCTCTCCTTCGCATCCGGTCTCGCCCGGTCCAGTTCGGCTCCTCTTGGAGAGACGCTCCAGCAGCGAGGACCGTGCTCGTGGGACTGCTGCGGTGACTGCTGTGACCGGTGGTCTCTTGCCCTGAGGTCCTGCGATGGACTTGAGTGACCTCTGATTCCAACCTACCAGCGATGGCCTCCAACCTACCAGCGATGGTCCACGTTCTTTTCATGTCTGAATACATCACTTGAGAGTTGCGGTTTCAAGAGGACAGAACAAGGTACCTGCGGAATGCGGACGTGAGAGATGTGGACATTTGGGTCACTCAGGTCTCAGCTCTCCACTCAAACCTGGACTGAAAACAGCGGCACTCACTCTGTCCACTCACTACGCCTTTCTCCAAGCATGACTCGACTAAGATTCTGGTCCTGAGACTCATGACTCATGACTCAATGACTCATGACTCAATGACTGGGGTTCAATTCATGGTCCGCTTTTTGTTTGGAGGCCTCTGGCGGCCGAGACCCGAAGAAGTCTGATGCTCAAACCCGTTGACGACCAATTCAGCGGCGAAAGAGTTGGAGCTCGCCTGGCAGTGCTCGAAGGGTCGCAGCTTCCAGGGGATCCTGGTGAACGAACGGAAGAAGTCTTGACTGTCGAAGTAGAAGACATGCTGTCCTGCTTTCCTCTGATAATGACTATAGGTATCTATAGTATAGGCATCTATAGTCTATAGGTCCTACAAGTTTTTGTTGTTGTTTTTTGTGCAGGATGCAAACAAACAGTAAACAAGTTTGTCAAAGTCAAAGCTGATGGGCAAAATACACTTGTCACTGATTTAGTAAATCCACAAAAACACCCACCCCAAAGGTTTGCTAAAAAAGCAGCTTGACAGCAAACCGTTAACAACACGTGCGCTTCCTTGTTGCGGACTGCGAACGCTTGGCTGGGTGAAGTCTCGTCTGGTCGAAACCCTCGTCGTCTCGTCGTCTCGATGGGTCTCGATGGGTCTCGTCGTCTCGGCGAAACCGGCGAACACGGGCGATCCAAGGGCGAGGCCTGAAGGAGGCGGGCAGAAGCGACGGGCTGTGTCGCGCATGAAGAAGCGCAGAAGTGTCTGAGGTGCACAGTTCATGGAGTACTCTTCAACTGCTTCGGCTGGATGCCAAAGATGCTTGAGGCTGGGGGCACACCGCCGGTCCTTCGGCTGCGATTCAGTCTTTTGCTTTGCGGTGACAGTGACCTGCATGCGCAAAATGCCTATGTGGAAACGTTCAATCAGTTACAGAAGTTACATCAGCAAAACCAATGCACACAACGTGTATTCTCTTGCTACGGTGACCATTGAAAGCGTCCCCAATTCCAATGTATTATATCCAGCAACCAAGGATTGGTGTGTGGCTACATTTTATGGTTGGACTGTGTGATGTGCCTCAGTCTTGACAGGCGTCATCTCATCCCAAGCTCTCACCTGGAACATCAAACCGGCAGTTTGCCGGCGGATGCAAGCGCAAGCAGCTGATTCCCAGTGTCTTCACATCTATTCATTGATGGCTTAGGCTTGTCCGCTCTGGCTGGAGGGTTTGGTTTGTGTATTTTGGATGCAAGAAGGACAATTGTCCATGGTCACTGCATCAACTTCCCTTCGAGCACAGAAAAGGACACTTCACATCTATTTGAGAGAATTGATGTCCTCCAACCTAATAGCAATGGCCTCCAACCTACAAGCGAACAGATTCAGATTCAATCCAGGAGCACGGACGGACGCCGAGGAAGCTCTGCGGCTCCGGTGCTCAGCTTCCTATGCGGTCAAGGCGATCGAGTGGACAGCATGTGTGGAGTAGCTTCCTGTGTGCAGCAACGTGATGCTTGGAAGCGTCTCTGATGCAATCCCCCTTCTGATTTTGGTTTGTTACTCCCAGCTGATCAATCAGTCAGTCCGTTTCAAACACTTCACATGGAACCGGACTTCTACAGTGGTTTGTACACATATATCGAAAAGTAGTGATGTTTTGTGTCATCAAACCTGTGCGCCTGGTAGAAGCTCAAGACTTCCGGATGGGCACGACAAGAGCTTTCCAATTGTGCAGCACCACGGATCCAAAGCCCCTGTGTCCCTGGCGAGAAGCGAAACAAACATCCCAAGCTCCAGAAGGACGCAAAGAACAGTGCATTGCCCAAATCAAGAGCACTTAGCGAGTTAGTATGCCATCAACAGGTCAAGTCGTTGATGTGTTGAGTCAAACATGAACATGGAAGTGTTCCTTAGACATGGAAGTTCGCATTTTGCTGGGCAAGTGAGGTGTGGTTTCAGTTGCTCAAAACATGTGAGAATATGGGGAGGCCCCCATATGAAGACGTTCTTGCAATCCATGTCTGGTTTTTTTTGATCAAGATTCTACACAATGAACACCAAATCTTTCCATCAAGTGACTCCCTCGTCCTTCTTCCATCTGTTCCATCTGTCTGGGTAGGGTGACCCCAATCCCCAAAAAGGTTGGGAAGGTGATCCACTTTTCCTGAGTCGCTCGTGAATGAAAACAGCTCAACGTAGCGCCGACGCCCTACGAACCCTGAGTCGGTCGAGGACCGACTCCCACCTGTGAGCCGCGACAGGGCGACATAGCTCTGACCTGCCTGACCGGAGTCGGTGGATCATGATGGAACTGACTCGGAACTGGTGAAAAAAAAGGTCCAAACCACAAGGAATGCGAAGCCGGACGGAGATGTGTAGGTTTTATGGCAAGTAAAGCTAACATCATAAGATAACTGATGAGATAACTTTCAATCAAACACAATCATGTATCTCCTCTACTGTGCAAGTCAATTTACTGAACGGGGACTGTGGATGCAAATGCAAACAACCTATATACTCTATAGTATATACCCCTGTTGGCACACAACACCAAACAAAAACAATAACCCCTCTTGGATTGGCATCGAACAAAGCATCTAACGATCTTGAAAGTCAATCCGAGTCCACCAGGGTTAGCCCTGGATTTTTCCGGACTTTTTGCGGATCGAATATGATCGAATCACTCTTGATCTATCACCCAAGAATTGCATGAGACTGGCATATATTATACATTGGAGTGGTTTCAGGGGTCAATGTATATAGGCATAAAGGTTGGGTTGGGTCTATCCAATTCCCTGAGGTGTCCCTGCATGAATGAATGTGCATGATGATGGTTAAGGTACCACCCAATTCTTTAACAAAGAAACATCATGCATCGTCTTGAACACAGGATGTCACCTAAAAAACGTCTAGAGGATGTCACCTATCTGTCACCTACCTATCTGTCATCTACCTGTCCTAACGTCTTTGAGCGATCTGTTCCAGGATGAAGAGCCAGCTGATGGGACACCCCAAGATCCACTGCTCCCAGATATTCCTCGGATCCAGGACCCGGACCCCTTGGACTCAGATGGTCCGGGTTTGGCAACGACCCGGACCGTTTCGTACGGACGTACGAACACCTCCGTTCGACGGTACCTGGACCCGGACTGGGTCGACAAGCCACCGAGAGAGACATTTTGGCTGTCTAAACAAAACGGGTGACCCACCTCGAAGACGTTGTCCAGCTGAAGCTCTGCGCGAGTCAGGGTCATCCCTTGTGCCTGCCGATGTCGCGTTAGACGAACTCTCCGAAACAACCCGTCATCATGTTCGGGCTCGCCAGCGAGGTCAAATAAATAAATAGGTTGGAGGCCGGCCATCGCAACTAATAACAAGAAGCTACTAGTAGCTCCTGGCATTACTAGTAGCTACTGGCATTAAGATATCATAGGTTTCATCATGAGATTGTTTGTTCTGTAGCACCCTGCAACTGCTCAGCCCGCTGTTTTCCGATCCCTCGGGTCCCAGTCCCGTCACTCTGGCGAGGTGGGTGAGGACGGCTGCTCCACGTATGGACGGACGCTCCACGGGACTGCCGCCCCAGACAAACCCTCCTGGCACCCCTGGCCGTTTTGAAGGCAGTCCGTCCTGGCAGTCCCAAACAGGTCGTGTCCAGGAGAAGGAATATACTGATGCTCCCGGACTATACTGATGCTCTCATATCTAGTCAGTGTCTGGGTTTTACCATGATGCTCCACGGATGGAATACATGCCGATCAGGCCAGGGGTGGTGCCAGGGGAGTCAATGGGGCGGTCTTTTTGATTCCAGTCCCATGGAGTGTCTGGGTTTAACGTCTGACCATAGTGGTACGGCACGGATGACTATTTGCACAGCTAACTGTTTATACTGAAAATGGATGTGACTATCGACATCTATGGATTATGAATGCGTATTTTCGATCAGGGGTGTCCCCCCTGGGCATTACCCCCCTTTGTCACTGGGTAGACTGGTCGTCTGTTCACCTTACCCAGCGGGTCGTTCCACTGGAAGCTCTGCCGACCGTGCCCGTTCGCTCTGCAGCCAGACCGAGCGAGGTGGTCGTCCCCCTCTCTCCAGCATCCACCCGGTGCACCTTATGTACAGTCAGTGCCCATCCGAGTTTCAGCGGAACTTGGAACCTGAGTCTATTTCAGGGGAACGGAACACCGGCGGAACTGAGAAGTGTTGCAAACCAAGCGGATGGGTTGACCAACCTCTAGCATAGGAAAACGGTTGTTGTTGTTGTTGTTCTTTCTTCCAGCACATAAATAGCCTATGAAATTGGCAAATCAAGTTCTACTGTAATAGTGGATAGATGATTGATTGTATCTCTAAAATGACGACCCAACTGACCTCCAACAGTACAAAGCCAGAACCGCAGAGTGTTTGTACCATAAATTGTGAGTTCACTTCACCAAGAATTCAAGCCACTCCACATCAGCTTCTGTATAAAATTATATTCCAGAGTTCTTAGTCCATTATGTAGGTCCATATGTGTCTCTATAAATTAAATGTTCAGGCTTTGTTTGGATTTTAACACCCAGGGTATCCTCGCTATAGCATGGGTGCTGGAGCTGCATTGCACATGTTTAAACAACATATATATATATATATATTATAAACATATGTAATATGTATACCATTGGCATGTTGTAGTTCACTGCTCATGCACCAGGTATGATGGATCCATTCCCGAGTGTTGTGAAACAAAACACAGCTTCGACTTCTTTCGATTTGATGAGTTTGAAGCGGATGTGTCCTGATGTGTGATGTGTCTGGATTCTTGAACCGGCACACATTGATTTCAGGCTTAAACTTTCGATAAAGGGCTTCTTGAGACTCAGCACTGAATGTTCAACCGACAAAAAAAAAGCCCCAAAACCAGCTGGGCGCCCAGCCTCTCCAGGCGCGAAGCTCCTTGTCCTTGGGTGAACCTGTGCACTCCAATACCTGAGATCAACTGCTCCCAGCCCATGCGACAGGTCTCCAATCAAAAGCTTCTCCGATTCTGATGACTTAGAGTGGCAGGAACTCTGCTTCCTTGTCAGATGATTGTGGTTGTGGCGGCCTGGCTCCATAGAGGTATATTAAATATTAAGATCCTGTAGTAACCGAATGGATCCACTGCCACCTTTTGAGGTACGGTGAGGACGGAGACTATTTATGTAGGTGCCGGGAGGGTCCAATTGCCTTCTGAGAAGGTATGTGGATCCATAGGGGTCGTAACCGAATTGACAACTATCTTGTACGTTAGAACTTGCAAGGCAGTGTCCAACGGAGATCCCGAAGTGATCTTGGAGTAATGCTGAAGGAACAAATTCGGCTCAACTGATGCCAGGATGCTCCAAATGGGCAAAGCTACAACATCTATATATATATATATAGAGGCAGGGAATTGAATATGTGGATATCCAATCTTTTATCATGTCTTGAAACATGATATGTGTTGCAAGACATCTAGAATCGACAAACTACTGAAAAGCTCAGAAGCTTTTCTCCTGCCAGACCTTTTTCCGCGTGACGTTGCAGCGGTGCTTGCATTTGGGTCGACTGGTCAGGATCGTCGGTGCACGCAGGAGTCTCATCTCTCAGAGGTGCCGGGTCTTGTGAAGATATCCTCGGTGCGAAACCATTGATATAGTAGGATGTTCAATACATTCTTTTGTACATGAACATTTGATGACAAGATTGCAACCTTTGTGAAGTTGATGAAACTGGCTTCACGCAGAATGTTCAATACGATGACACGTACGTTAATATTTGATGAACAACTATCAATGAACCGAACCTTCTGTGAAAATGATGAAACGATGGCAGGATGGTTTGCCAAGAAATCTCTGTCTTTTCATTGGGATGTGACAAAACCCTGTGGCTGGGTTTCTCCATATTCAGATCCACACCCATATGGTGATCTATGGCGTGTCAAAGTAAATACAAACCGGAATCATGACTGGCATGTTGTCAACTCGAGTTCTAAGCAGCATAGCTCAACATGTTCTCCTAAAACAACTTCCTTGGAGGCGGTTCCAAGTTCTTTCCCTCATTTCTTGCTGATAGTACCCAGACACATTGGGGTGGCTTAGGGTCAATGTAGGCATATGTACCATACATGGAGCGTCTGGGGTATAAAACAACCACACATATTTTAAAAAACAAATAACAACAACTGTAACATACCAGGCTCATCCTGTCTGGGTGTCCAATAGACTACCCTACCCTACTTATTGTAGGTCTCCTACTCCAAGGCACCCAGACAGGAAGTGCTAGGTACCTTCAGGATCTTTTGCCAAAGTTCATCTAAGGAGACCCCGGTCTCTTGCGCCTTCTCCACCGATGGCCCATACGTCTTCAAGAGCTTCCTCCAGCGGTGTTGCTCAGCCCAGCCGATGATCTGGGCCGCCTCTGACACGTGACGAAGCTCTGCCCACCTGGAGGGGTACACCGATGTGGACAGCATCGATGTGGACAGGGCGCATATGACATACGTTGGGGGGGGGTTCTGGAGGCGCACTGATGCGCCTGTCTTCTCACCCAACCCCTGCATTCTCCAAGTCTTCATCATTCTACAATCAAAACAGTAATAGCAATTTTTCAAGCATCAGATTGTGGCACACTCAGCAAGATGAGGGAATCGATTCCACCTCAGCAATCTCGCTAAGATCATCTGCTCCTCCTCCTCCAAGTCTTGAGGGATTCCTTGAACCAAGCGATGCACACTCGTCCTCGGACCCGCGCCACCAAGCTCGCCGCTCGCGTCGCGCGCTGATCTGGAGCGCCAGGAGATCACAGTGGCGGAATCCACACCTGAGGCGAATTTCCAGGGTGTGGAGCTACCTGGGAAATATATAGATGGAAACACAGTCCTATATGTCCGGTCCGAATGCAGAATGCAACAAAATCTAAAACGTTCGTCAAATTTGTGGATTTGGGCAAAAGTTCGGCGGGAGTCTTTTTAGGGGAGCAGCTTCTTGCCCCCTGTTGGGGGAACCTCCCCGTAGCGCATGCTTCCACCAGAAAGACACTAGACTAGCTCGCAAAATCCAAATTCAAAAGGCAAACTGAAACTGTCCTCTCTTCGGAAAGACACATTCTTGATAGCTTTCTGCTGATTGAATCGTGATTGCGCACACATACCTGATATGGAGCGGTTCTAACAGGAAAACTCGTCCCCCCACCCTGGCTCCTTGCTCCACACAGCACACTACGCTGACAGATGCTGACAGTATTTGTTGATGGGTTTTGTTGGGTAATATCACAAACATTCACAACCAGTCAAAACAACACCAAGGTTTCTAAAACCTGGTGATTCCAGATTGGCAAGAAAAATCAACACATAAAATATGTTTAGCAGTCAGGTCTGATGCTGGTGCCGTCTGAATAAACGTATGGCAGCTTCTTCAGGAGAATCGCTGGCATTCGCAGAAAAGCGTTGAAGATCGTTTGGATATCCAGCCGTGTACCAGTAGGCATAACCTTACAAACCAGGTCGCCCGCATTGTGGAACAAAGGCTCACAGCTGCATAACCAATGTCCGTTTTGAAATTGGGAATTCCTAGCCGTGATTTTGTGCTTCAAGTATTTGCAGACCAGCTGCTTTTCCATGTGCTTTCACCTTCCAACAGTTGAGATGCCATTGTTGCAAGGCTCTCCATGCTAAGATTTGGCAATTGGTAGAGACGTTTGAAGCCATAGCCAAATTCCCACTCCAAAGCAGAGACATTGGAGATCCGAGTCAGAAACCTTGGAACTTGGGACCAATCAACGTCCAACGTCGGGTGTGTATTTATATACTATAGAGAGACCTCTCAGTTCAACCCATTGGTCCAGTGGGTCTCGGGGGTCTCGCTATATACACATCCTGGCATCCTCGATGGCTCGATGGCTGGTGGACCGGTCAAAGCCTGGTGAGAAGACTTGCTGCGCGAGAAACACATCAAAGTCCAGAAAGTCTCCAGTGTGCTTATCATAGGTCACCTGACATTCAGCAAAACACAAACAAAAACACCCCGTGGCGACAAAGCACGATGCCCTCTTTTTTGTCGATGATATAAGATATGTTTGTTTATTATTTATGGACTTGTAATGGATCAATCATCCAGACCTACTCCAGCCGCTCTTCACATTCACAATGCCTTTCCATCACTGACAAGAACACGAACACCGCTCTTCCGTCGTCCACATCCTTTCACCGAAGTCACAGTCTTGAATGACGGATTATTGTAGTAGACAGGGCTGAGTGCCGATGACAAGAAAATAGGCCCAGCTCCGCGTACAGGATGAGGCAAAAGCCGGATCTCGTCTTTGTGAACGTGTCCAAATAGTTGAGCTGCGATGACACCTATGCTTCGTTGCCCTAACAAAACATCGAAAGCAGGTTGGAAAGGCTCAACAATAATGATGGCAAGATGATGGACAAATTGTGAAGACATCCTCCACCATCAGAACTCCCCAAACGCAGTGGTAAATCGTTATGCGAAAAAAACAAAAAAACAACCTTCATCTCAACCAGTAGGGCTGTCCCTTCAGCCCCTGAATTCTCAGAAGGGGGCATGCCTGGGCTTCTGGAGCCGATTCACGCCCCACCTGGACGGAGGGAACGGCGCCGCAGGAGACAAGGCCAGGAGCACTCAGTCTACTCTCTGAGGAAGACTAACATGGAAGTGGATGGCACCACCTGGTGTTTTGTTGTTTGGTGATCGAAAAACAATCAGCCTGTTTATAGGGCCATACCGCCCACTTAACCCGGCCTGATGATTTCAGGGAGTTTAATCCAAGCATCTTCCCAAGACTTCATCCTGCACAATGTCCAAATAGTCTTGCACAAAGCCTCACATCTCAAATCCAACAGCTAAGCAGTGCGACCAGCACGACGTGCTGATGTGTTGCGTCGTGTCTGTCTGATCTTATTGGTTGCTGGTTTGGGGAAGCAGAAACAAAGCAGCTATACTAAAGTTACGTCCAGGGGATCCGGTTGAAACCGGAGGTTGGTTGGTTTCTTGCCCAAAGCAAATCTAGAACAAACATGAATTCTGCAGCAAATGCTACTACATCTTACTACCATTTACTACCTGCACTCCGACTCCACAAAATGAACACCCCAGGAAGACCGTCCAAAACAAGTGGTTCTCCACTTTTTTTTCAGGTGTCAAAAGGGGTGACCTTTCAACACACAGACACCAAGCAGGACGTCCCCATCTCTGACCCCCCAGGCCTCTCCCATCCTTTCCCGCCTCCCCCGCGGTGCTCACGGGTCACTCCCGGTCCCCTCGAACGGACCAGACCGTCGGACCGCACAGCGAAGGATCGGCACCGGGCGTCGACCACACGACACGCGACGAGTCGCGTGGGTTCCCGGAGACGAGTCCATGGGACTAGTCCCCAGACACTCCATGGGACTGACATATATGCCGATCAGGCCAGGGGTGGTTTGGGGGTCAACTGATCGGCATATATGGCAGTCCCATGGAGTGTCTGGGGTCTATTGACCGATCCGGTTAAGGGGGTGCTGCTGCTGGTGGTCAGAGGTCAGACATGATCGGCAGATGACAGACATGGGTCGTGTCTGGGGTTTGGTGATGCTTTGACCTGGAAACGTGGCTGCCAATTCTCGCTGTATCCAAAGGTCTCCATTCCAGGTGGCACATGACCTGCTTGGGGAACATGCGCAAACAGATGTCTGCGCGAATGATGGTGCACAGCTACGCACCATGTGCACCACAACATCAAATGTGGTGTTGTTCAAAACATTTAGTTGTATATACATCCTATTATAGGATATTATAGGACTACTGTCTACTTGATCTGTGTCAACCATGTTCTGTTATGTTGAATAGTAAACGCATCAATGATTCTTGGCCAATCCCAATGCTGGCCTACGATCCACACTTTTCGATTTTCCAGGACAGCTTCAAAGAGCTTCTGCCGCAACCAAGCAAATTGGTAAAATGGGTCCTGCCCAGATGTGTTGGCAGGGGCATGCTTCACAGAATATATGACCTTGGTTTCCAATGACTGTCACCTGAAAGGGCAAACAACACGTACACACACCCTCTTCCATCAGTTGTTGTAGTTGCTCCAAATTTGTCGCCCCTTACTAGTATGGAAACAAAAAACAAAGCAAAAGGTTTGTCAAACACAATGCTATTCAGTTGACGGTTGCAATGCTGAGAATCGTCAAATTGCCAATCTGCATCTCAAAAAAACTGCCATAGTTGAACTGCTTCCGGGTCTCTTTGCTCATGCAATGAGCAGTCTCAATCTGATGGCCGACTGCTTCAAACCATCGGTTTGAGGACTTGTTGCTGGTAATGTTTTGGAAATAATTTGCGGGATTGTCATCATTGCCCAGGGCACCAAAGACATACTGCCCAGGTCTCAGGTGATTCATTGCTGAGGAGACTTCACCAATGATGCCGGAGACATTCTCAAAGGGATGCTGAAGTGTCCTGGTCTTTCAGCATGTGAATCAAGCTCTTGAACCGGTGTCCACCGTTTTTGTCACACGTCCCTGGTACAAAAGGACAACAAACCACATCATGTACGGCCTAAAGAGACAAAACGCCGTGGCTGCGGCAGGGCTGCGGCAGGGCTGCTTGAACCCAAGCTTCTCCGGGTGATGTCTTGTGAAATCTCCAGTGAAGATCACGTAGTCGGACTTCTTCTCGTGAGATTTCTCCTGGGTCGCAGAGCTCAGCCCGAACACACTGCTCCCAAGGAATCCGAAAACACACGATACACGAGGGGCAAGCTTTGTACGACCTGGCCCGGCATCGAACATGCCATCTGCTTGATACAACCATCATCTACAAGCTGCCAGCTTAACAACCATCCTCATTCTCGGTCCAACTCGTGAGTTAGGCCTGCCCTCCAGGCATCGAACTATGTAGTAGTAGTAGCAGCAGGAGTTACTTGATCTTGACCTATGATTAATAAAGGGACCCGGAATAAAGTTACCACTTTATATTCAATTCAAATTCAATTCCAATTCATTTCTAATTGACTACTAATTCACCTTTATTTTAATAGTTGTTTTAGTAAGGGGACATTTCATTTTATAATTCTTTCTTGGAACCTGGGATGAATTTCAATATTTGACAATACATCTATTAATCAGAGGTCAACATTAGTAGTAGTTAGTAGTGAGCCGCCGGCCACCCGCCGTGGCCGCCGAGTCTCCAGGTGTTCAACGGCGCTCACCACCGAGCGCGCCAAGGACATGGGAGGATCGCAACCCATGATGCCGAAGCTGAAGTTCCTGTCACGAATGATCAGCGTGACGACGTGACTCGCTATGCAAAACAACGGATCAACGAGAAGACTTGAGGATAGGCTATACCCTGTAAGCCAAAGACTATAAAAAGAATAGTCTTTATGGGATCTGAAAGGGAATTTCCTTTACTTCACTCAGGGAAAGCATAGTCTTTGGACTTCCAGGGTATAGCAAAATAGGTCTTCATGTGAGTGAAGACCATAAGCTGGAAAACCATCAGAGCAAGGATTCTAGTATATATATTCACTCTTCACCACAGCAGTGCCATGGGGTTTTCTACGGTGCAAGATGGCCTCAGAGTGCTCACGTTCTTCTTCACACATTGGCCTTAGGAGGTCCAAAACACCGTAGTCTTGCAAAACTGAGAGAGCTGCCAGAGATACGGCGGGTGCACTTGCAAAACTGCTCTACTCAACCGAGTAAGGCTTTACATGGATTCTCGACAGACAGGCTGTGTAATTACACGCGTGGAAAAAAAAAAACATATAATACACAAGAAGCACAGAAGTTAAAAGTGGATGGCCATCGCACTTGGTTGATCTTTCCTTGTGGCTGACGGAAGCAACATCATCTCATATTATCATCTCAAGATGACGCAGGTGACGTTCTCATGCACCGTGACGTTTTGGTGATGCCAAGTGACGTTCTGATGTCAAGTAAAAAGGGTCGATGTGGAAATCTGTAAGCCATATCGACCTGCCAGTGGTTCTTCCCCTTTCCAAAGCGCGTCTCTGCAAGAGATTTAGGTTATTCTCGGTCTCGCCATACAAGATCTCCTCAAGCTCAAAGGTCCGCTCACCGTGGAAGGAGGTGGCACCTCCAGTCAACACAGAGAAATAAGAGCAAACTGGAGAAAAAGGAAAAGACACGGATACAATGACCGCGGCACCTCTTAAGGATTCTCTCTCAAACTGCCGTGTCCACAACACAAGTGCCAAGTCCACGCAGGAGTTCTCGCACGGGCAAACCTCTGGCAACTATGGATGTGCGTAATTAACTATGTGTTGCTGTGTTTTTTCCAAGGCAACCTCATCTGCCATATGAGAATCAACATGACACTGCCATAGTAGTGTGTATTAAAAAACGGAGCTTCCGCTTGCCCCCCAACAGGACCGGACACGCCCGTCAAAGGAGCTAAACCATCAACCCGTCGACAAAGGCGACGGGCTTCCGGGGGGTTCCGGGGGTTCCTATTCCAAGAAGCAAACCCCTAAACCGTACCAAGCCGCCGCAGTGCAGGGCGAGCCCGAAGCCAACAGCGGTTTGCAGTCCAGCCATGGTCTTCCCGGCGGCAGGTAGCCATCGAAGGAGCGCGAATCGATCGGAGGAACAAGGTAACACAAGTGATCCAGATCTGACATGTTTCGGCTGGAAGCCCACCAAAAACCAAAGCTCAACCAAGCTTCAATTCATTTAAACGGTGTAAAACGCAAAAGTTAGCTGCTGACTGGAAGTGCTTAGAGAACTGATCTTAGCTCAAGCCTCGCTCAAGTATTGCACCGTTTGGGAGCCAAACCACAGCGAAAGACTGGCAAGCCGTGCCTACTTGCCATCTTAGTGAAGACAAAACAACCAGCAGACTGACATTGAGGGGTCTCGTCTTGTGCCTGCTGGACGGGGCATGGATCTTGTTGGTGCACCTTCTTTAACCGGATTGATGGTCAGTATGGTGATGCACCAAAACCGTGTTGGTGTCCCACGTCCTGGTTCAAGAACTGGACATTAACCAGGAGTACAAGGCCCTCCTTCTATGCAGGTCGAGTCTCAAACTTTCTTCCCATGGTCGAAACGCACCACGGGCTTTCCATCTTCAAAGCCCTGAGCGCGGCGCGCGCGCGCGCGCGGGTGGCGTGTCGCAGGTGACGTGCTGCGGGTAACGCATGCGCTTCGACCGAGTACGAGGCATAAAAATAAACACCTGCATAAGCGTGGCCCCTGAAGTTGCCCCAAGGTATGACCCCTGTCCACTAAACAGAGGACAGTACCCTCCCAAAATGATTGAGGTTGCCCAAGACAACCTTTCGTGAGAATCCAGATCCAATCGTGGTGAGTGAGAGGTGGCTATCACCTGGAGATGTATATAGTCCAAAGCCGAGCACTGTCCTTGAAGGTAAAACGTGAACGCAATGACATGACCCATTGCATTGCCAACGTTAGTATTGGCCCTCCTAGATTGTTGAAGGCTTGCGTAAGTGCATGATGATCCTCAAGTTGATAATACATGATATAGTAATACATGGAAGAGTTGGAAGCATGCAGTTTGGGCTGTTCTACATTCAATTCTATGCGCTTGTTGATCTGTCAATGCCTATTGCCTATTGCAACCAAATCATCTACATACAGAATTGAACAAAACACGATTTACCGCAACATCAGCGCTGACACTCGGCATTTTTGGTAGACAATCAAAGGACAGTTCAGCATGGCCACGCAGCCTCGACGCAGCCTCGATGGCCATTCACCAGCCCCAAAGCTGGGTCGTTCTTCAGGTGAATGACCTGTGAGGATCAGCGAAGATCTGCTTTCTTCCCATCGAAGATCTTGCCAGGTACTCAAACGAAGGAGATTTCATGAGATTTCTGGACCCTCAAGTTTACCAGCATGTTGAGGGTGTCCAATCACCTTCTCAGAAGGTATGTGGATCTCTTTATGGAATCACTTGAGTGAGTATGTGATTCTCACGCGGCCAGAGTCAATCGTAGCCAAGACATGAGGGGCTTGACGGAGCTGCTCATCTCAACTAACATGGGTGAGTAAAACTAACAAACATGAACGTCACAGCCTTGACAATTCCCTGGCTGTAGATAAACATCTTTGAGGTAAGTTTCTGTTCTTGCAAGTATCGTTGGTGGGGGGTCAATCGTGGTTCTTGGGGCTGGTTTGGACCCCATAGCTGCAACTCTAAACACCAGAGCAAGTGTTCTCCAAAAAAGAACCTCACGGCCATACGACGGCCATACGATCAAAGGTTTTGAGAGCCATATTGCATCAAAAGCATTGAAACACCAAGCAAAAAAGAAGCAACAGCCCCTCCTGGGCTACTTGAGGGAGTTCCCATTCATCTACACAAACGTGCCTCCTTCGCAAAGGCTTGAGTCAAATGTGTCTCACAAGCTCTGCGCGATTCTGTCACTGCATCTGTCCGACAGAGTCTCTCGTTCTCTCAATCTCTCCATGCCTGGGCACCAACTTTCAAGCTGAGTTGTGAAGGCACCTGAAGCGATGAGCTTCACGGCCCAACATGTGTGCAATCTCAAATGAATTCACTTTTGAGACTGAATCATGAATCATGATTGGCCAAGAACCAACACGTGTTCGGAGGCAAGGCACTAGGATGCAGGTTGCTGCAATGTGAACACTGCATGATTCATGGCTTCTCTTTGATGGGATATGGACACTCTCTCGAGGCTTTAAATTTCTCACTAGAGAGTTGATTGGAAAGAGAATGCAAATGCAAACTGCATGGAGCTAGATTTGGGTGTGTATGTCTTTCATTTTCGTTCAATGGGAGCACCCAACCTCCGTCTGTTATATCTTCCTTCATTAAATGGAGGTCTTTGGGGTCACCCCTCTTTTTTTGACCACTTTTTGCTTGGACCGCGCATTGGACAGGTACGGATACGCAATGGAATGTTGCATCAGGAAAAGGGATCTTTCTTGACATCTCGCGTTTTTGGGTATGACAAACACCATGAACACCTCCCAGTGACTCGCTAGCCCCCCAAAGCCTCAAGTTGACAAAGTGAAAACTGTGGAGATCTGTGGAGTATCCCCTGAAAGTCCTAGTTTCTAGACTTAAGGTGTGAATAAAGAAACTCCTGAAACATATTGTAATATCCACATCTTTCTCTCTTTCACTACTTAGATTACAAGCGTATATGTATATATATATATACATATTATATATATATATACACGTCATGTTTTGACAGATTTCCTAGGTCGCCACTCCACACCACACTCCACACTCCTCCACACTCCGTCGCCTTCCGATCCAAAGCCACTCTCTGCTGCGCGCTCACGCGCCGGGGGAGCCGATCACGGGCCAAGAGATTCATGGCTTCGCCTGGTGACGTCACGGGGCGCGGGTTGGAGATGCGACTGTCTACAGTACTCGTCGTCAGAGACAGTCGCAGAGACAGTAGTCGAGGGCTGTGGAGAAGACGAGAACGTGAAGCCGCTCGGCGTTCTGTTCTTTTCTTGGAGCCGACCTGCTGGGTTTGCCGCAAGGAGATACATAATACCTGGAGCATCAGAATCCTTATAATTCCTGGTGAAGTTAACTTTCCCAGCGATTTAGTGAACTTCAGCGATTTGGTTGGGAAACCAACGATCTTATGATCTTATACCTCTGCAGAAACACACGCACCACGACAAACCACGCACATCACACTTTGCCTGGAACAGCGCCTGGTCGAGTTCCTGTTCAACCGCGCTTCTTGGCTAAGTTCTGGGCGAATTGGGTGTTGTAAAACCCAAGGCACTTCCTCATGCATGAGATGCTGAGAGTGGCTCCGTGACATGACCTGGCAACCCTGCTCACCCTCCCCACAAAATCCTCGTCACTCCAACAGGAACTTGTATGGGGACTAAGGGACCATCCACTCAAGGATAAGCCAATCTCAGCAAGCATGTGGACCTTTGGGCGCAGCTTAAACAATTTCTTGCCAGCTCGAAAAGCAATGGCTGCCAAACGCACGTAGCCATCCTGGATTGTTCAAAAGTAACTTGGGCACCAGAAGTTTCCCAGAGTAACCTCACCTATACACAACTTGTTCCCGAAGAAGGTCAGGCATTAAGTGAAAATGAAAACATGTTCTTACAGGCAAGCTACACAAACATTGTTTGCTGCTCTCCTAGCTTCAGTGCTTGCAACTGGATTCAGAAAGATTCCATGCTGGTAGAGAATGTCGAAGAAGTCATTAGCCTGGCAAATTGTGTACCTCATGTACTCCAAGGGCTCATTGTCGCAATCCTGGATTCGGGTCGAAGGTTGCTGGGGGGCTTCACTGCGGGGAAGAGACCGTGTTTAGGTCACAAAAAGGTTGCAGTCAAGGGTCAAGGTCAACAATAAATGCTTGCAGCCATCTGCAAACAACGGCTGTATCGTGCCCTTTTCCAGCCACGGAGGTGGGAAAGTCATTGTGCCTAGATGAAACTATGCAGCTTTTGTGGGGCATGAAACTCTATAAGCGCTTTGCTTTTCTTGGGCGTAAGGAAACATAAAGCAATCAATCAATCCGGGGAACGATTTCATGCCAAACTTTTTCATGCACCATTCATCACAGCTGTTGTGACGCTTGGTGTCATAGCAGTACTGCTGAAAGGACGTATAAGCAGACTGCAGTCTACTATCCAGAGAACGGGTTGCGCCGAACTTGCCCAACTCGCACAGCCATACCACCATGGATGCGACCATGTCGGAACCGAATCCAATATGGAAAGTATGGACAATGTCCGGGAGTATGCTTGAAGGCTCACTTGCACCAGGTACACCAGCAAATATGTTTCCCTCACGCTTGAAGGGTGATGGACCAGGTCTTTCAACACGCCATGGAGCATCTGCGTCCATGTCATACCAGCACTCAGGGTTTCCAGCTCTCAAACTATGATCGAGGGTCACCACACATCTATTTATGGAACCCCCCCACCTTGCTCGAACTCGAACACAGGTGACACTTTCTGATATTAACAAGTCAAACATACATATATATATATTCTATAATATATATATATATATATATTGTTTAGCGCCCCCCACCTTGCTCGAACACAAGTGACACTTTCTGATACTGGTGAAACCACTTTGCAGGCTGTACGCCTGAAGCCAAGAGATGAAAGAGACTTTCATCAGGAACATTGTAAAACAACATGCGAACCAACCCATGCGCAGCACCTTCCTCAAAAAGGGCCAGTCGCCCTTTCCACCCACGTAGATCAGGCGGAGGTGTTTGCCTCGAACCTCCGCAATAGATTCACTTGGCCGGGAACCCACATTCAGTTGACTGAAAGGTTTCTGAACCCATGCAACTAACATAACGACCAAATATAATGGTTGGCGATCAAGCTTCGTTGGACATCCCAGCCTCTACACCATTGTAGAACAAGGATTGCATTTGCTCAGCCCATGCAGCGTTGAGATCCCGAAGAGTTTGTTCTTTATAGAACAGTTTGGATGCAATGCAGGTGTAGAGCATGCGCCAGCAAAAGCTGTGCCTTGAACACATTGTAACCCCCCTTATATATATATATGCATACATCTCTTGATACATGCAATCAATTTGATGCGCCTGCCTTTAAAAAATAAAGCTTGACAAGACTTAGAAAACCAAGGCACCCTGATATGTTGGTGAATGCTGGCCCCAAATGCGACAGTACGAACTGCCAACTCTCTACCATGAAAGCAAGGGACCGTAATCCTCTGCCTTCGTCCCCGTGGAGCATGTATGGAATAGCCGCTGTAAGATCAACACCCTCCAAGCTAAACACCGGGTGATGGGGGTTGCACCGGCGGTACACATCCCAGAACCAGCCCAGGAGCACCCTCCATTCATTCTCTTGTTCGAATTCGTACCCTCCAAACATATATGGTGAAAAAGACTCTGCCAACACGTGTAGCCAACTCTCCATGGAGAAGGTGGGCCAAAACATATCCACAACACGCTTTGGCCGCCTAAGCTGAATCTTGGTTTGGACGGTAATGATTTCAATCGGCAGTGTCACTCCAGCTTTGTGAATCACCGTGCGAAGGTTCCGGTCCGCATTGTTCTGGAGCTTGCCGGCGGAAGCGATTTTGCACAGAAGATCTCCAGCTCCTCTGTTTCAACTTGTACTATGGCTCGGGGGTTTGGAGCAAAAGTACAGAAACTGACCCACCCCAATCAAAATACGTCTATATATACTAAGTTGAGCAGCGTTTTGAGCCCCCCGTGGATTGCCAATCGGGCAATGTTTGCAGTCTTTGTTGCACTTTGAGCCTGGGCAAATTTGTTCCATGCATACATTTGCAGGGGCGCCCAAGTGGAATAAACACAGCCCATGGCAACCCAAGAAACACCCGTGAAGTAGCTGTCCAAAATCTCCATAGCGCAATCATGTTCATTCTGAAGATGTTCTGCTAAATTGGGGTCTCCTAAACGAAACAACGTGAGGTGGCGGTAAAGAAAGTCCTCCACACAGCTTCTCCTCCAACCAATTCGGTGAAGTGAGCTTGCACATTGACACCTGGCCAGTCAATTTGGACAGCGGTTTGGCACACTACTGTATAAATCCATGCAGTGCTCATGAATGAAGTGCATTCACAAGCACAGGCTTGCATTGGAACGTGTTTCAACTATAAAGTACTAAATACATATACGTACGTATATATGAGCTGCGCCCGTCAATTTACCGTGCACCGTCAGTCAGGTCATGCCCGCATTTTCTCCCCATAGCATTGCCACGTGCGCAATGAAAACCATCGCAAGCATCTTGTTCAGATGTCTTCAGCAGGTGTTTAGAAACACGTGCATCTTTAAACAAAATAGGGCCGGCCATTCAACCTACTTGCCCTCCTTACGTTTTTTGGACTTTGGTTCACCTGATGCCTGCTTGCCACTCCTTTTGGTGGACGGTGCAGGCGGTGCAACAGCAGCTGCCTTAGCAGCAGCAGCCTTAGCGGCAGCTGTCTTAGCAGCAGCCGCTTTCGGCTTCTGGATCTTCACTGACCTGACGACAAGCAAACAGCATCAAACGGCCTTTAATGGAATTTCACCACTTCACAGCAGAAGACAAAACGACATCGGCGCGCAAAAAATATGTATATGTATACTGCACAAGCCTGGCGCGCGACATGATGTTGTTGACACGGACATCCATCTTCGTGCAATTGATGAATATGGCGCGCAGATCGTCTCGATCTTTCTCCTACAAGTCAGGTAACACTGGAAAACTTGGTGTGGTGTTGTCAGTGGTGGAAATTCACTGCATGCATGCCACAAGTTCTCCAGCCATTTCATATCTAATTTTTGTCAAGCTGCAGAAGGGCAAGCAACAGTGCATTTGCTCTCTTGGAAGGAAATCAAAGAGTCATATGCACCTTTGTAAGCAGCGCGGTCACTCTGGAGCTGATTGACCAACCTAAGCTTTTGTGTGCATAGCTGCATCTGCACAAAAAACCGCAAGCTTAACGCTAAGTACAGATGAGTAGCTCAGTTGCCCTCGGTCCACCAGATTTCTGGAGTTTTTCCTGTCCACCAGTGAAATATATAATTCCAAATCGATGGGTAAACATATGACCAAATAGGTTCAGCATGACCAAATAGGTTCAGCGTGCAAAAAAGATAATGTGTCCTTTTGCTCATCGATACGATCCATCTTTTTCCCCATTTGGTCGACGAAGCTCGTGATGTAGCCTCACACTCATGTGCATGACACTGCAGTGTATAACCGTATACGAGCGTGTAAGAGATCACTTCGCACGAACACCTAATTGATACATATATATGTCAAAGGAACCAAACGGATCCTGGGTTTGCTGGACCATCGGAAGGTTTTGCAGCTTTGCCGCCGCCGCGCTCTGGGCTGCAATCTGGTTGCAGGCACCACTCCCTGCACTACCGCGCCTGGGATTGAACAGACACGGTGGAGTGTGACCTGTGCATGATGAACATATATGTGAGAGAGAGGAGAGGTGCATGTTATGTAAGCCCAAGCACGTCATGGCAGCTTGCGCAGAGAACTTGCTAAAGTCTAGAAGAGTTCCCTTTGGATCGTCCACCATCGTAGACCCAGAACCCTCTCCTTCCTTGGACCGAGTTGTAGAGAAATCAAACGTTTCCTCAGTAGGCACCCGCCACTCATCCTCTCCATGGACCTCGTTCTTCCTGCTTAGGCCACGAGCTTCAGCCCAAGCTTTGGCGTTTGCAATCATCGACCTAAGTTCTAAGACCCCTAGACTCTAGACCCTATAGGCAGGTGTACGTTCAAGTTCTTTGTGTGCTCAATGAGTGCAGCATGTTATGCATATCATACATGTTAAGTAGGGGTGGCGCGTTGTCCATCCCTTTGCCTTCAGAGAGAGTTCTGTGTGCCAACCCCCCTTCAATGCTTCCTGCTCCTGTTCACGGATGATCTGTCTGATCGATAACTCCATCGCTTTGAAATTGCCACCTGATGCCGCAAAGATCGAGGCCAAGTTGTCGCCTAGTCGCAGCCGTGCCGCACATGTGATATGGTTTGCGCGACACAGTACACGTACCAAGAGAGGTCAAAACGACGTTAAAGATCCTTAACGTCTTTTAGGTGTTTAAATCCTTTTGACCTCTCTTAGTCTCTTGCATATATGCCACCATGGTGCGCTTGTTTTTGTCTTCGAACATCTCCAAGGCTTCTGGGCTTGCAACAGATTTACCATTTGACGGCTTAAAATAACGTCTCAGCCTTGGCAGTATTGCATGACCAGTTACAACATGTTTGTAATGATGGCATAGACCCTATATGATGTATCCAGGGAACTGCCAATACATGCCGTTGTCATAGATAGACACAGGGGAGCTTGGTGCTGCTGGTGATGTACCCTCAGGGTGTCGCTCTGCTGGTGCTACTTCTTCTGGCTTGTCAGCTCGTTCTGCTGCAGCTGCCCCTGGTTGATCTCGGTTTGCTTCATGTGCAGGTGCTTGAACGGGTGGTTCTGCTGGTGGCTCTGTTGCAGGTGGTACTGGTACGGGAACAGTACTCTCAACAGATTCATGTGATGGTGGGGGTGGTGTAGTCTCGAATTCACCTGAACTAGCATCTTTCACAGTGGAAGGTGGGGGGGGTTGGTGGTCTACCATTGCCCTCACGCTGCATCCCATTGCCTGCTCCATCCGGGCTCTCTTGACCGTAAAGTAGAGTGACAGATTGAGAGGATCGTGGTGCGCCCGGCCCCCTCCCCTGGTAAGAGGCACGCAATTGACTTGGCTCTGGCGACATTGGTGGAGGAATTCCTGGAGTGAACGGTCCCCCATTGGCCACCACAGGTAGCTGAAACAAATCACCTGAGCTGGTGCTTGGCTAGGATTGGACACACTCACCCGTACTAGCAGGGAACGTCTCAGTTGCGTCCTTGTATGTATTGACAAGCAGCGCGCGTTCGAACCTGGAGTTCCACCGAAAGCATTTCCAAGCTGGGCTTGAAGCAGCTCAACGGCTTTGGTAGCAGCCTCTAGTGGACAAGGGCGTCCATATACACATATAATATATATATATAATTAATATATATACGCATTTGAGAACATGATCAATCGCATACCAGTTCATCTAAGGAACAGCAATCTGGGCATCAATCATTGCTTCGGCATCGGAGGAGATTGGGGTTTGGGTTAATTCCACGCCTTCATTCAGAGTCTGGCGGGATTCCATGATGGAGGCGTGTGCCATGAGTTCCGGGCTGCAAAAAAAGTCTTAACTAGGATTGGGCCACCAAAATCTCACAGGTCAAACCTATACAGTCATGGTTGCACAACAACTGAACCCCTCAGCTTCTTGTATGAGCGCACCTTCTTTTGAGATTCCCGTCGAATTGTGAATCACACAGCGTTTTAGAGGCATAGACTCAAAATCCATTCTCCGAGAAATCAGGATTTGCGGGCGTTTGCGGGTTTTTGCGGGAGTTTGACAGTTTTTTGCGGGATTTTTGCGGGTAAAGTTGGTAGAGATATATGATTTATGACAACTTGCACGCTGTGTGCGCATCAGAATTGGCCAAGATGGCGTATGACAGGCATAGCCTGTGCCAAATTAGGTTGCCAAAGGCAGCTACTCAATTAACTCGCAACTCCAAGATCAAAAGGGTCCAGCTCCTCTGGTACCTTAGGGTGAAAGCAATAGTTATCCCATGTAAGTACTATCATGCACATGATTCTTGCACAAAAAAGGATCATGTACGGGCAATGGGCAAAGAACACCAACATGAGCCAACAGACCCTAAAAGCCAATTTTTGGACGCGACCTTTCTTGTTTCTAAACAAGAAAGGTCGCGTCCAAAAATTGTATCTTGGCAAGTGACTGCTCGGAGCTCTTGGGTGAACTCGATCATTGTTTTCTTCCAAGCCTGAGGTATTGATAGCTTCTTGTTGGACCAAAGGTACAGGTAGACATCACGTAGCTGCGCATCTGGCCAGGTGTCGCCAAGAGCTAGCGATTGAAACAATTGGAGGTCATTGTCATACTTCATTTCGTACTTCTGGCGTAATGTTGGGATTGGTTTTTCCAGCAGCTTGTGTTCTGACATCAAGTGAACCAAGGCCCTTCCAAGACCGGGTGGATATTCCCTTAGAACACCATGCAATAGTTGAGCAGGTTAAAGGTACATCAGCATCATAATAAGATCTTAAGTTTCCGACTGTGTTGACTTCAATGAGGTGGATCCACAGAAGCCAATGGAACCATCCCGTTTGATGTACTTCCCTAAGCAGGCCGCCCCACAAATGCTACGTGAATGTTTTGGGAAGAGGCTGAGGCAAGCACGGGTTGTCTTGATCTTTGTTTTTTTGTCCTTTACAACCTTCGCCAACCGCCCCTTGTCCTAGGACATGAACAGCTCGATTAAAGTCTAATCGAATACTATCTGCAAAACAACAGCTCCACGCCAAAGACAACCTGAGACATTGGCCAAACCCTTGACCAAAGCGCGGTTCACAGACCACACAGTGGTCCGCTTGGGACTTTTGCTTCCATGGTGCATCATCCAAAAGTTGTGGCGCCATACCTTCGCTTGAGCTGAGAACTGCATGTGTTACCACCCACTCGCAAAAGAGCACTGATGGCAGCACATCCCTATACCTTGATTATGCTATCAAGGTACTACCACAACACGGTTTGTTAGCCACGCCAAGCGGGGGTGATTGCAGAAAACATCAGAAGAGCCACTAGGTTGCTCGACTAGAAAGTTTGAGTGCAAAGCCACACCCATCAGCATTATCACCACACACCTGCATGTGCAACAATTTGGAACATGCGCTTTCAAACTGTAATCCACAAAGCATGTCAATGCCCACCTTGACACCATGGCATTAGCATTCAGAATCCATGACCTAGAAAGATCACCGAACACGTTGATTGATGACCGCCATGAGCTCCCTCGTGAAATGCGCGTCCATGAACTGCAAACTGGGGCCATTAGAAGGAGAGCCCCAGGGCAGCTCTGTAAAGCTAGGAGTATGGCCAACCTCAATGTGAAACGCAACACGTACACCCACATGCACGCGCAAAAGAAATTGGCTTATAAGCATTCATGCATGATATGCGTGCATCCAAAAAACGCCATTCCAGCACATGTCAATATATCCATCGACTCACTATCCCGAAGCTCGAATGAAGCTACTCGGTGATTTGGATCACTGCGAAACATCTTGGAAACGTGGCCGGCCCCGGAGAAATACTCAACCATAGTGAACCTCATGTCCACGTTGATGTTTGTAGTCCAGCCGAGAAGTAGCACTATGCCCAACAATACCTGATCAGAGAGGTTGTGTGGGGTTTAGGGACTGGTGTAGGGATATTTGGTACATGGGGTACATGGCTATCACAATCACCCACGTATCACGGCCTTCGGTGCCCCTATTTGCGCCAAGCTTTGGATCACGCTGGATTTCCTTTTCACCACCATAGCTTCGCAAACGCGGGAAACGATCCAGGAGCTTGAGATCAACACTGCAATTGTGCTGAAGCTGCCGGAAAACATTCGATCGAGAAGACTACGAGGCAGGAAGCGAACGGGTATGGGTTTGCAGACCGACTACGTCGTTCAAAAAACATGTCGGTGTCACTTTTGGAAGCTGCTCTTGTCGCAAAACGTTCAAAGCGCGGCATCAGTACCTGGAAGCGCATATTGCTCGGGTCAAGTTTACACTTTTGATCGAAGTTTCAAGATCGATTGTGAAAGAACATAATTAAGACTGAATCTTCGCTGAAAGTGGCACGCAGGCAAGTAAGAGGCAACAGGTGTCCGTATCATTTTCCACTGTGAGGTTCCTTTAAGGATTGGATCCAGCTAGGTTGGGCAGCATTGCACCCCACGCACAACCCTTTGTGCGTGAAATGATTGTCAATATCAATCCGTGCCAGGTTGGCACGCCCATCGACTGGACAAACACGGGTGATCGAAAAAGCTACCATCTCCCAGCATCGTGGGTCATTGCCTATAGAATCCCATGTAGCCCCATCCTGCTAGTTGGTCTCCGCGTACGCCTCAGCTTCTTGGTGAATGGTGATGTACCACTTGAGGCCGGGGCCTGAAAGTCAACCAAAGAAACCTCCCCGACCCTATAGCTGTTTTTTTGAAGTCATGTGCAACTTCATTCAGGAAGACTTAGAGTACATGACATCGTAGCCATCTTACGGCTTGGCATGACACTGCAGCCCTGCAGTTAAAAAATAGCGCACATATGAGCTTTACGGAACCCACGAAATGCAAACAAAGACACCTTCTTTGCAGCTGCTTTCTTGTCCTCATGAGAGCCCTTGGTAGCCCTGAATGCCTTGTGGTATGCAGCAGACTTCCTGCTGTACTTGGCCTTCTTCTCCTTCTTAAGCCTGTTCTGTTTTGCCATCTCAAGGCATGCCCTAGTTCTTTGTGCGGGCGTGCTTGAAGCTGCATTTGGCTCGGATTCTTCTTCTTCTTCTTCTTCGCACTCCTGTTCATCATCATTGGCTCGGGTGCTTGGCTTTGGCTTTCCTCCACGTGTCGGGCCCTTTGAGGTCTTTTTGGATGCTTCCTTGTCAGCGCCATTCCCATCAGAGGTCTTACCTCGCTTGGCCTTTTCGCCGCAAGAGTCATCCTTCTTCCTTTTCTTCTCCGCTACCGGTGCCTCATCATCGTTCACTCTACGCTGACGCTTCTTCTTTCCCTGATGCTCCTCCACTGCTGGATCATCATCCTCGCGATCAGGTGTGTTGCCATCCTCTTCACAGTTCTTGTCACGTGTCTTGCCTCTGACACGTTTCTTTGGCGGTGCACGTTTCTTTTCCTTGTCATGTTGCTCGCTTTTTTTCTTTGCCTTTGTGGAACTTGAAGCCTTGTCCTCTTGAGAAGCTTCATCATCCGCCTTTGCCTTTGGCTTTCGGCCACGCTTTTTGGGTGGGCATTGCTCTTCTGGACTGATGCATGGTTCTTCATTCCATGAAGCTGGCTTGGATGGAGAAGCAGCGTGAGCCTCCGTGGCGACCAGGCAATTTGCCTTGGGTGCTGAGCTCTTTACTTTCTTGATTTCCTCTCGGGTGATCCAAGTAGTGGCCCGGACCTGCAAGGCTGTCTTGCCTGTGACACAAGTCAATTTGGACATCAACTCCTCCTGAGGGTTTAGCACTTTGCTGGTGTCTTGCGGTTCCTCCGGGACACCGGCAAGACCAGTTCCCAGAACCGATGTCCAATCAATCATTTTGCATACATCCGGGTCAAAAAATGTTGACCAGCTGCTGAACGATTGGTACATCCCAACCTGGTGGAATGATCAGTTTTGGTTTGCGAGCTTTCATGTGCTTTTCATCATCGTTCTTCTCAGCATCAGCTTTGGCCTCCCCAGCCAGGGCACTTGAAATCACCGGTTTCTCAACCTGATCCCCTGGTAGCAGCGAACTCTGCTGGTGCGGCTCTGGGCTAGCTTGATGGGGTACCTCACCATCAGGCTTGGTGAGCACGACAGGTAAGGACTCCTCGGTGAAGTTCAGGAACATCGGCTGCGTCTCCACGTTGTCATAGCCTTGGCCGGAGAATGCCGATTATATAGTGTGAGCGGTTCGTTAAAAATATCGGTAGTGACCGTGACGTACTAATTGATCTTAGGAACAGGGTCCGTTCTTTGGTTGAAGCTTCTGCAACTCCAAAAGTTTACGCAGCTCTAACAGCTGATGCAGCTTGGCTTGAAGCTGCTGTAGCTGATCGAACTTCTGAAGCTTTGTGTTCGCGTTGTCCACTTTGTCCGGCGTCTCATCAATCACATTAGAACGGCCTTGCACTGTGACTGCGCTGCAATGTGTTAACTTTATAATGTCGACCATATATCTATATATGTAACTATAGATGTAACTAGTACCGTGGACAATGGCATTTCAGGATGCAACTGAAGGATTTCATTGAACCTAAAACCATATCTTTGTTGCGCTGGTTTGTTCAAAACCCTGGGCAGATAGGGGAACCTGTGTAGATGGCGCAAGTTAGAGAAGGACCCCCAACCCATGCTTTGATCCAACTGATGGCCTGCAGGCGGAGGCGTGACAAGCGCTGGATCCATCGACTCAGACTGGGCACTGGCAGCTGAAGGTGGCGGAGCCTTGGTTTCGCTAAACGGTGTGCTCACCATGTGCGTGCAGCACGATCAAACGATCTTTTGGGACACATGCGCACGTGCGTTCAAGTGACAGGGGATGGCTCAACAGGAGGTGCAGGAACATGGGATGGGTTGGGAGGTGTCTCCTCCACTTCCTCAATACCTTAGATCGATCATGATTCTACCATGATGCACATTGTACAGGACTGATCAGTTTGCACGGCATGCAGGTTCAACAAAAGGGGAAAAACTTGAAATCAACTGCCCCTATGATTCTAAGGGGCATGGGTCTTCCTCTTCCTGTTCAGTTTCTGGGCACTCTGAACCTTCACCTCCCTCCTCTTCTTCCTCTTCTTTTTCACCTTCACCAACCTCAACCTCTTTCTCCAGATTCTCAGCGGAAGCAGGACCATAAAGTGAAAGGTCCACACCTGTCCCTGAGAGGATCCGGCGTAATGCCGGTTCCCGCGGCAAGTGTGGCCGCCGGCACACGTCGTTGTACATCGACATGAGGCGACGAAGGAACCAGGCTTGTGTGTGCACAACTCCTCCTCAGTCAGTGGCAAGGGCGAGCAAGTCACCATGTCAAAGTCCCATATACACAACTGGTCATCCAAAATGTGTACATACATCCAAGGTTGTGTACATATTTCATATGCATCTTAGGCACCATCAATGGGTATCTTCATCATGTCGTAGAGCGCTTTCAAGTGATGATAGTTGGTATCAACACCGACCCTTGAGCCTATCTCATTGATCGCGTGGACTAGCACATCCTCATTCGCCACCATTGAATCGCGGGTCACAACAGGTCCTGTTGTCACAACCTTGGAGCAGGCAAGAGCCATGCACTACAAAGACACATCCAAGATACATTAAAGCATAGAAAACTAGCCTAACAAACATATTCTTTGAATCAAGAGACCGCTTCAAGTCTCCTAGCTCTTTCTCTCACCTTCTCATTCCCTTCCCAAATTCGTGCCAAGTCGGTTGCCATGGCAAATCGCTACCGTTGTAAAAGCGTACTGAGCCGAACCCTAGCTGAATGGTAGGCGCAATTAGCGCTAAAGATTCAACATGCAACAACTACGAGTAATGCCAGACAATGGGGCACCACAACGCCAAGCTCTTGATCTCGTAAGGCGAAGGTCCCAGCGAAGCCTGAGCAGTGATACGGTGGTTGGCATGATGGAGTTTGGAATGTAATCATGGAGCAAACTCATGGCGCATGAACTCCAATAGCTAGACATCTAATTATGCAGGCTCTCAAAATTGCAGCCAAATAACGTTTCTCATGAAGAGCTCGCCGCAATCACCAACATCTCATGGCCTCCTTGGCCGGCGATGCAACACCAAAGGATTATGGATGGGGACATGCAAAGCTGCCATATGCAATAATGGGATCGCAACATATCGCAACATTAAGATCGCGATCATAATTTTTCCACGCCACACACGCACTGAATTTTGACCGAGAGTCGGGGGATGGGGCCCAGACAAAGTGCTCAGCCACTCATTGAGCCGAGGAATCTTCGAGATTGCGGTGGACTTTGTGCGCACCAAAGCACACAGCTTGGTTGCACTGGATCATGAATTGGGTTGTAATCCTGGTGCCAAAAACCAGTCGACTTAGTAGACTTAGTAAAGTTCAGCGATTTGAGTAAGAACCAACCGCTTTAACCAAGAAGACGATCACTTCACAAGTCCACGCTGAATTCTTATGAGTTCGAAGGTCCAGGTATGCATATTATATATATATATGGAGTCAGTCTGAGTCAGTCTACGGGAAACCTTCAGTTGAAGAAGCTTCCAAACTGCTATAGACAGTTGGGAAAAAAGGTTATCCTCTACCAAACTCTACCAAGAAGACTCTATATATATCAGTTTCCAAGTGTAGTTGAGGGATTGCTGCGGGTAGGCGTCTCCCAGCATCTTTCGATCGCGTGTCGCGTCTGGCGCCTGGCAGCTGGGCCAAGCGTTTGGCGTTCTCCTTGTCGACATCACGATTCAGGCCTTGCAGCCAGGCGCCCAAGGATGCGACAGGACAGGAGATCTTCTCTAGAGACACTGCCTGGTTACGAACGGCACAGCCTAGGTATGCCAGTGCACATGGTCGAATGTACTGTGCACCTGTTGGGAAAGCACTAGCAGCAACTGGCAGGAAAGGTAAATATCACAAACAACAGGCTTGTGAAGTCTCAGGTTGGCGGAGTACGGTTTGTTGGAGCAACCGTATCTTGCAACAGTATCTGTGTCAGAACAACTAAATCGGAGAACACCTCAAATCTTGTGGGCTGTGGAATCATGCCATTTTGGAATCACCCATGTGTCGACGTGCTTTTTTTTCTGCGGTCTCCCCTTCTGCGGAAAGCATTTGCCTTTTTGAACAGTTCCAGCTAGGATTCAAATGTTCCGTTTCTTCTTTGGCAAAAGTGCTTGAATAGTTCCACATGGAGCAACGGCCAAGTCCAGCTTCATCTGTCAGTACCCATACAAGGGGGGTGGTGAATGGACACCATCTCTATTGGCGCTTATTCGCTCCAGAGAGAAGCTCTGCTTCGTGAAAATCGCCTTCCGGAGCCACGATCTGCGACTGTAGACTGTGTAGACTGAGGACCATGGCCTGAGGTTTCTCAATGCAAATGGGGGGGTTATTAATCAAGAGTCTAGAGACCATTAGACCCCAGACCGATCTCCATCCCAAAAACGTCTCTCCTCAACGAAGGAAGCTGTCTAACCGGACGTTCCGAATCAGACGTTTCGTGGCAAAGCGCCTTTGGGCCAGGGTCATGGTCCGCGGAATTCGCGCGGAATCCGCGCGGGTCGCAGGGTCTCGGGGTGTCCCGGCAATAGAGCTTCGTGGGTATGATGCCATCCCTCGGTGACGGCTTCACCTTGACCTGGGGCGCCCGCTCGTATTTCGGCCGAGTCGAGGGACAAGGGACGGGTGGATGGGGGTCTGCTGTCCACATCCGTCTGGAAATTCGTTGGAGGTTTGTTGGGGGGGGTTGGTTCGGATGGATCCAGTGATTCTCAGCAGTCAAATCGGAGGGATCCAAGTCATCGGATGAGGGACTTATTATGGACCCCGTGTTTGAAGGGATGTCATGGGAACTGCCACTTAGAACAGCCTACTGAGTCAATTATTCACTTGGAAGAACTTGGCCAAGCACACTCTGCATATTATTCACTGCTGCAAATGGTGTCTGATCTCAATCGCATCAAGGACTCCTCTTGCTCTCGGGCTGGAAGATCATCAGCCAGGTCAAAAGTACCCCCACTTTCTCTTCCCTAGAGTCAGTGAACGACGCATGCTCTGGCTCAAAAGACATCGGGTACCATCCAGTCATCCACTCGTATAGAGGACAAATGGTGCAAGACCATGTCTCTGGGATGTCCCAACCAGGTCTGACGATGTGTGCCTCGCTCGTCATGCCCAGTTCCCCGGTTCCATCTAAGCTCTTTACATTGCATCTGGTCAGCATGGCCTTCGCTTTCGCTGACACAATGCCTAGTCTCATCTCATTTAAGACCTGGCACAGGAAGAGATGTGGCCCAAGGACTAGGACAAGCTGGAAGAGGAATGCTAGAAGCATCTATAGAATCTAGAAACATCCCTTTGACGATCAGCTCCAATTGCATCTGAGTTGGCTGCTGCTTTCTACTTGATTTTTCTTTTCGACATCCAAATGAGACTCATCATGTATCAATCCAATCCAAACCAGGTCCGTCACGCTCCTGACCTTCGCAGACCTGTTGGTCCAAACAGGAGTTGGTCAATCAAACCATCAAACGGCCCTGGAAACGGCCTTTCCCCAGCAGAATGAGTGTCAAAATCCGTCTTTCTCACAGATGGACCTGCGAAAGCACCAGTCGCCTGAGTTGTCGTTGTCTTTTTTCTCTGGGGAATGAGCACCCAGCACGTGTTTTCTGTGTTGGTGTTTCCCACACCAACGTATTAACAAAAGACATCCCCCCCAAAAGCCAATGGGTTCGTGTCCACTGCTGAAAGGAATTTATTCTTCCAACCCCGAGCACGTCTGCCGTTCCGGCTGGTGCCGGGGCGCCTCTGCGAAGGCGCCGTCGCCCTGCTGCCGAACGGCATCGCGCAGCAAGACAGTGCCGTCATGCAGGTTGGCCTCCGAGAGCACCGTTCGATGCGATCCGAGGTGAAGGGCAGCTGATTGACTATGAACTGCGTACCGCCCTGCCCGTTGATTTCAGACATTCACACCCGGATCTAACAATTCCATGCAAAAGGTCAATCAAAGACAAATACTTGAGACATCATTGAGATAGACAACATCAAAAGGACCCTTGAAGCCGGTATTGTTCTGATACTTTGGAGATCTGAGAACGTGTATTGATCTGAGACACGTTCTCTTTGGCCCACCAGGATTCCAATCGATCCCCTAGGCCTTTTGCCAAGCCTTCGCCGTAAAGCAAAAGGCTTTCGTCGAGCGTGCGCCACGCTCCTGACCGAGCTCACTCTTTCTTGACACGAACACCGATGGATAAATGGAACTCCGGATGATACCGGTGAGGCCGTCGGTCATTCATAATCAATGAAGCACTGCTCGTCCATTTAATGGATGATCCTACATGAAGGGGCCCTTGCCCCAACAAAATCCCAATATGAAGTGATATATTAGCAAGCAACCCTAAAGGGGTCTATATTTGAGAAATTGCCTTGGCCTTGGTTGAGACCGTCACAACTCACATTGGCATGCTAAATTACGTGCGAACAGCTTCAGCCAAATGTATACCACACTCATCCACACTCCATCTAATCACCAAATAATCACATTGACTACATTGTGCTGTTGCCAGGGTATGCTGTCTGCTGAGATTCTATTTCGTTGCCTTCCACACTTGCCACACAACCCATGGCTGACACCACCCGGTAGCACCTGCACCGGTGGCAGTTGGAGGAAGTCTCCACAGAAGATCACCTGGCGGCGTGGTCCTTCGACTCTCGTTCCTTTTTGTTTAGCGCTCAGATCGATGCAACGGCCACGCTCAGATCAACGCAAGCTCGACATACACGTCGTACAAGCAACGCTGGAAATCAGGGGGGCTTTAGGGGCGTATGATGGCGTATGGGTATGGCTTCAGGTACTTTGTTCCAAGGTTTCATAATTAATGGCCAATACAATAGCGCTGGTCTACCTTAGTCACTTGCCATTGTGACCGTCAGCCAAATGCCTACATATAAGCATTACTTGGGCTGATTCAAACAGGATGCTCGATCCATATAACTATGACATCGTGACAACAACTCCAACAATGTCATTCGTATGACAGCACTCACCTTCCTACAAAACAGTGCTCTTATGACTCTTATGACCATGTGAATATGTATAGTTGTTAATTATTAATACAACTTGTTGTATGTTGTATATACATGATATACACTAGGCTCACGTGAGCTAGGACTCCCTGAACATACAGCAAAACCACAAGGCCTGTCTCGTTTGTACACCATGTGGGCTATGAAATCTTGTTTTCTTAACGTCTCCCCCGGTCAACCGAGTTTTTCACCAACGCGCGCCTGCAGGCCCCCGAACGCATCGCGGTTCTTCCGGACGCTCGAGGCCACGCTGGAGACCAGATCCAAGAGGTGAGCGTCCACCATGGAGATCTCATCCTCGGCCGCGCGCGGACGCCACGCACGTCGCAGTGGCGTTGGCGCAGCGCTCGAAATGCGTCGCACCGATGCGCACCCAATAAACGAGACCTATGGACCGTCTGCGAGTACTGTTCATTGTAGTAGGTTGTTCATCGAGCACCC